TCACTCTATATTGCTCTACTGCCAGAGCGACTGCATCCGTGTGAATACCATTCAGACCTGCTTGATAGGCTTCTTGATCTAGGGGTTCACGCTTGTACCTTTGGACCTCTCTCTCTAGATCATGAAGATCTTTCCTGACGTGCCTGGGTGGGGGAGTCCTGTCCATAAGGCTATGGCAGGGATGTTCCTGACAATAACACCCAAACAGGTACTGCATCGACAACATATAGTTGTGACGATGGACGGGTAAGATCTTCGTCTCCTCATGAAGATGGTCCACTGGAGTCATAAGGAGACACCCTGTTGCAGTTCTCAGGGCAGCGTTCTGGCAGGTCTGAATATTCTTCCACTGCGTATCACTGACATTCGCGAACCACACTGGCGCCGCATAGCTTACCACTGACCGGCCTATTGCTTTATAAGGGGTCAACAAGGTTTCTTTGTCAGCGCCCCAAGTGCTGCCGGCTAGCGACTTGAGGACCTTGTTCCTACTTCTCAGATTATCGCATAAAGCAGTGGCATGCGTGGACGACTTGAAAAGGCTGTCGAACGTTACTCCCAATATCTTGGGGTAATTGGTGGTCGGAATCAATTCTCCATCGACCATTATGTTCAGTGGGAGCTTCATTTCAGCCGTCCATGTGGTGAACAGTGTGGCTATTGATTTGGTGGTGGATATTTTCATATTCCTCAGTTGGGAGTAGTTAACAATATCAGCTATGTAGACGTTTAGCCTCTCACATATATCATCAATAATAGGACCCGACGCCATGATCGTGCAATCATCCGCATACATTACGATCTCTATGCCGTCCGGTGGTTGTGGAATATCAGAAAGGTAGAGGTTAAACAGTTCCGGAGATATCACCCCTCCTTGGGGAACTCCCTGTTTCACTCTACGGGGTTTAGACTTCCTGTTTCTGAATTCCACAGTTCCGGAATTCAGAAACAGTTCCGGAGATATCACACCTCCTTGGGGAACTCCCTGTTTCACTCTACGGGGTTTAGATTTCCTGTTTCTGAATTCCACATACGACTGGCGTCCACACATATAGTTGATTATCCAACGTTTCAAACACGGTCGGAGATTTGTCCTCTCTATATCCTCGAACAGCTTGGCATGGTTGACGGTATCGAAGGCCTTCGATAGGTCAAGTGCCACCATAACTGTTCGGTTGCACGGCCTGTTCTGGTTGAGTCCTCTGCTAATATGTGTGGAAATGGCGTGTAATGCTGTTGTTGTACTATGCATCTTACCGAATCCATGTTGGTATTGGGCAACTGGAAAACTGCTTCTCAGCGATGGGAGGAGTAGCGCCTCAAGTGTCTTCGCTACCGGCGACAGGAGTGAAATCGGCCTGTACGATTCACCCCTGCTGGCATCCTTGCCTGGCTTCAGTAGCGGGACCACCCTGCCTATTTTCCAGGCTTCAGGAACTATGTGGGTGGTTAACGACAAGTTGAGGGCTGATGTTAGGTACTCAACTCCAGGTTCATCCAGCTGCTTTAGCATTACCATGGAAATTCCGTCCGGGCCCAACGCTTTGGATGACTTAGCGTTATTAATGACATCTGCAACATCCTCCTTCCTAAATTGTGGTGGTTCCTCCTCAGCTCGGAGTGCCCTTATGCGACGTAGCACACTCCTTTTCGCCCTGTCACTCTCGGGGTGCTTTATGAACTGCCGGTTAAAATTACTCGCGCACCTCTTCGGGTCTGTTACAGTTACGTCGTTAAATGTAACAGCCGTCCTGTCATCTTTCCTTCCAGGATTCGAGAGTGACTTGACCTTTGCCCACAATTTACTTGTTTCGGTGGCAATGTTGCATTGCTTCAGGTGGTCTAGCCACTTTTTCCTTTTGTGCTCGCATACTAATCTGTTGACTTCAAGAGTAAGCTCTCGCACCCCTGGGGCTTCAGGAGTAGTACGACGGAGCTCATCACGCTCATTAGCCAATACCGTTGCTTCTGCTGGGAAGTTAGGTTTTACTTCGGGTATTCGACCAGCAGGTATGAAGCGAGCGGCAGCAGTAGCGATGATTTTACGGAAATTCCTCTCAGCTACCCGTAGATCTGAGGGAGTGGGCAGCTCTCTGAAGCGGTGATTGGTAAACTCTCTGAAGCCAGGCCAATCAGCTTTCCCATGGTTCAGGAAGGTACGGCTTTCAGAGGTTATGAAGTCTGGTGGTCTGTTTACGGAGACGATGATCGGAAGGTGGTCTGAGCGTAGTGAAACGACGGGTTGCCAAGTTACGTCATGTATCAGACCCGGTGCCACAATGGTGATGTCTGGCGAGCTGTGGCAATCTCCTCTTATCCTCGTGGGGGCATCCTCATTAACCGTTCAAAATGTTGAGCTATCAATTTGCTCAGCTGTACCCCTCTGGTCATTACCTAGGACGGAATGCCATAATTCATGGTGGGCATTGAAATCCCCTAGTACCAGGCGGTTATTACCTTCTAAAAGCGGACTGATATCCGGTAAATAACGCGGTGTACAGCTATTCATCGGCGGTATATAAACATTGAGCACCTCTACCTCGGCAGTTCCACACTTGACTGCTACCCCCATACATTCCATGTATGGGTCACTAGAGTCTAGCTCAAGCGAGATAGGTCTGTACTGGACAGAATGGTGTAATAAGAATGCGAGTCCCCCACCTCCGCTTCTGGTACGGTCCTTCCGCACAACGTTGTAACCATCGCAACTCTGTAAGCTACAGTTCTCAGTTAGCTTGGTTTCTTGGATCGCACCGACCATTATTCTCTTCCGACTCATAAATTCTACAACTTCGCTGATTTTGTTGCGAAGACCGTCACAGTTAAACTGCAAAAACGATGCACTTTCAAGGCGCGGAACAGCAATATGTGGTCCGACGATGACGATTCGGATGATGAATCGGACGACGACTCTTGAGACACACTGGGAGACGTGCTAGCGCAGCATGAAGCGACGTAACTCCTTTCGCACTACTCACTTCCAATTGATGTCTTATATAATTTATTGTTTTTAATGAATGCGAATTAGTTCGATATTTATGTCTGTTAAGATTTTAACGGATACGTTTAGTGGATCTTTATTTATACCCTTCACCACACTGTGGTACAGGGTATTATGTCTTTGTGCATATGTTTATAACAGGCAAAAGGAAACGAGATAGACACATGGTTCCTTTTGAGAATATGCATAGAATCACTTTCTAAGTCGATTTATGCATGTCCGTCCGTCTGTCTGTCTGCCCATGTATTTTTGTGAGCAAAGTACAGGTCGCATTTATGATCCGAATTGGATGAAATTTGGCACAGCTCATTTGTTTGGCCCAAGGACGAACCCTATTGAAATTGGGAAAAATCGGTTCAGATTTAGATATAGCTCCCATATATATATATATATATATATACAAATATATAAAATTCGGTAGTGGCTAGATCCGTCAGATTACAAATCTTTGCATTATTGGATAACATCAACCATTTTGTTTAGACTTTTTAGGAATTTACTGAATTTTCAATACAATTGTCAGTTTGAATTCCGTTTTATTCAAAAGAATAATGTATACATATTGAATAAATGTAAAGAAAATTGGATTGCATATTCTGTACGTTACGTAAGTTTTAAAATTGTGGCACAATAAAGACAACCTCGGTCTTATACAGAATTATATTTTCACAGATTTTCTATGGTTTGACGTCTATCAAAAGTCTCGAATGGAAGAGCTGCCCACATATCGAAGGTCTACGGGTATTCTATGTAAAGAAGATTCGAAGGCGGCGTTTCTTAACTATATATTAGGTTAAAAAATGTCATTGCAATATTATGTAATTTATTAAAAATACCGAATAAATAGAATTTAAAAAAATTTATACAAAATATTTTCCAAACTGTTATAATAGTAATTTGCTATATATAAGTAACTAGGAATTTTACTAAGCAGTGGTATCTAGCTAATTAATAGACTATAACTCACTAGCTAATGCACTATGATTTCTGACTACTGAAATGGCTGGTTACTCCTAAGGCAGGCAGGGGATAATTGACTTCCCCAATGACATACCCATGTTAAATTCACCAGTCTAGGGCATGAAGTGGTAACTAGTGGTACTTACAAGTAATTAGTAAAATATCTAGTTCATCACCAGTTACTTGAGCTACTGGGTAGGTTAAAGGTAAGTAGTGGATTGGTTGTGATTAATTTCAATTTATTGCACTCTTGGGTAACAATGAATGCAAACAAATATGGGTTTATGTTTTGGAATAGCAGCCATTTAAGGGTACCGCTCCATTTGCGGTATTTTGAAGGTTCTTGCCTCATTATCCAACCGAAGTGTCTTTAATATTGCATATCGAGTTTTCATATGATAAAATACCTCCTCGCATATTTAGTGCGCCCATGTTTCGAACTTGTCCTCATGAAAAGATCGCACTTTTTTATGGTGGTCCACATTACCCGACATTGAATATTTTTATTTAAAAATAACTATCGGATTCAAAAATGAATACAAATTAAAAATCACCTATTATAATTACCGCTAAACGTATATTTTTGTTAAAGAAAACTAGAAAACCACATATCTTCTTTATATTCGATAAAAACCAAGCGTTTGACTATTTTGCAAAAACATTCGAATATTGTGCTAAAAAATTTCCAAGTCACTCTTTTACAATCAGAGCTACATTTTCTACTACTAGATTTTCAACATTGCAATTATTTATTAAAAACCAAGTTTAATGTTTGTTTTCACTAATTAGGAAAACATTTATCAAGGCGACATTGACATATTCCAGCATTTTCTTTGATATGGGGGTGGTCCACATTAGACGCATAGTCCACATTACCCGAAGTTACTCTACGAGTGGATTTCACCTCAAAATGGAGTAGGTAATAATATTAAATGTTTTAATATCCTGACATTTGTATGTTTAATATCAATAATTGAATTAGAAACAAAATTGACATGTTAGATGAGTAAACATAATAATAATAATAACAATTATATATTCAATTCATTTTCAATACTATATCCTTGGCTTTGGCAATTGCTTCCTCAATGTCACCAACCATATAGAAAGCTATTTCAGGTATATCATCCATATCTCCATTCAATAGTCGTTTGAAACCCTCTATAGTCTTCGGTAAGGGGACCATTTTCCCAGCGTGTCCTGTAAATACTTCGGCAACTTGGAATGGCTGCGAAAGAAATCGTTGTATTTTCCTTGCCCTTGCCACAGTTAGTTTGTCATCTTCGGACAGTTCGTCCATGCCTAATATGGCAATAATATCCTGTATGACAAGGTGGTTACATTTTGTATGTAGAATATTATGCAGAAACTCTTATCGAATTTCGTCAAATGTGTGCTGACATAACAAACTGGAACTAATTTGATAATGTTTCATCAGATTTGAAAATTACCTGGAGTGATTTATAACTCTGCAATGTTTTTTGAACTGATCTGGCTACAGTATAATGTTCATCTCCCACTATCATTGGATCCATTATGCGCGATGATGAGTCCAAGGGATCAACAGCTGGATAAATGCCCAACTCTGCAATTGGTCTTGACAAAACTGTGGTAGCATCTAAGTGCGAAAAAGTTGTCTGCGGCGCTGGATCTGTCAAATCATCTGCTGGTACATAAACAGCCTGCACCGATGTAATAGAGCCGTTTTTAGTGCTTGTAATCCGTTCTTGCATGGTACCTACATGTATTTCAATGTTTTAGCTAAAACTAAGAAGACACACATTATTTCATACATACCCATGTCGGTTCCCAAGGTTGGTTGATAACCAACTGCAGACGGAATACGTCCTAGTAAAGCGGATACCTCAGACCCAGCTTGAGTGAATCGAAATATATTATCAATGAAAAGTAACACATCCTGACCTTCCATATCACGAAAATATTCTGCTATGGTTAGGCCCGTCAGTACAACTCGAGATCGTGCACCTGGGGGTTCATTCATTTGGCCGTACACCAGAGTTACTTTCGAAGTGTCATCGTCTAAAGAAATTACTTTGGATTCAATCATTTCCATATACAGATCGTTTCCCTCTCGTGTTCTTTCCCCGGCACCCACAAACACTGAATATCCACCGTGGGCTTTTGCAATATTGTTTATCAATTCCATAATTAATACGGTTTTACCGACTCCAGCTCCGCCGAATAATCCAATTTTCCCACCTTTAACATAGGGAGCCAATAAATCGATTACCTAAAAACGAAATACATATGTTGTATTCTATAACATAGAAAGTGTTTTATATTCGAGCGAGAATTTCTATTGAAAATAGTAAAAAATGCAACCTCCCTCAACCTCAAATCAATAATCACATTCAGACCAGGATACAAATATACAAAATGTTACTTAAAATTGGACTACAGCTAAACTTTTACCAATGTATATGTAGATATTACCTTTATTCCTGTTTGCAATAAAACGGGATTTACCGACAAATCAGTCATTTCTGGAGCTTCGGCGTGTATGAAGGAATAAAATTCTGACTTTATGGGACCTCTTTCATCAATGGGATCACCAGTAACATTTAGAATTCGGCCCAAAGTAGCCCTACCGACAGGAACACGAATTGGATGCCCAGTATCTGTGACTTTTTGGCCACGTCGTAGACCTTCAGTGCTGTCCATGGCTACAGATCGCACAATATTATTGCTCAAATGATGAAACACCTTGAAAAATCAACTGTAGTTAAAGAAACTTCAGTTCGGTAATTCGAAGGGAATATTCACCTCTAAAACCAAACGACTGCCGCCTTTATAATCGGAAACTTCCATTGCATTCAATATCTCGGGTATTTCGTCTTCAAAGAACACATCTACAACCGGACCAATAACAGCATGGATCTGGCCTACTCTTGGCTGAGATGGCTGATCTTTACATGATTTAGTATCCTTTGTCTCATCTTCCTGTGTACAGACTGCTTTAGATTTAGACCTGATTTCCTCATGATCGTCTGCACATGTATTAAAATCTTCTAGTACACATTCGCAATCTACAGATTTAAAGATCATGTATAATAAATAACGGCAAATATATAAATTATTATTACCATTATCCTTTTTATCTTTCATAAGGATGTCAAACTTGCGATAACTTCTCTTGAGCATTGGAAGTTCCTTTTTGTTAGGCAACAGTGACACATGTCCGAAAACTCCCGTTTCTATATTAAGGAAAAAAATGTGGAATTTGTCATGGAGCTTGCTATTTAAAAAAATCTTACGGTATTTTATTGCACCAATTTCCACTAATTTCTTTATAAAGCTCATTTTTATATTTTTGGAAAAAAGATATTTATGGAATGTCAAATAATCCATGACTTCCTAATTTGAAGTGAATTTATAAATAGAAGCAAGTGGATAAAATCAGAATTTCCGTGAGGATGAGTTTTTATATTTTGTCTGTTCCCGTACTGCAATAATCTACTTATATTACAATTTTTTTCGAATTTGTATCGTAGTAAAAAATACTACAAGAACAGACCAATTAACTACCAAAAAAAACTGAAGTTACGTCCTTCAAAATATCTATTAATGGAAGGTTATCCAAATATTGATTACATGTCAATAGGCAAATTATAGCCCCTTTCGAAGGAAAATATGGCAGAGCAATTAACTACCGAAAAACTGAGGTTACGTCCTTCAAAATATCTATAATTGGAAGGTTATCTAACTATTGATTACATGTCAATAGGCAAATTATAGCCCCTTTCGTAGGAATATATGGCTAGGACAACCAGCCATATTCAATCGTCAATTATAAAATGTAGAGGAGGTGATGCAAATGTGGTATAGGTTGTTAATGTGGTATAGCCACTTTTTTGTAAACTGAAAATTTTAGAATAACTGAAACATGTTCTATAGTTTGCTGTTCTCAAAAAATAAGATAGCAATGATCTGTTTAATTTATTTAACTCAGGTTGAGAATCAGTAGCAAAAATTAAATTTGTCATGAAATTGACTTTTTCGGTTGAAGTTTAAAAATATTTTAAGTGGTTATTTATACTCTTTCGAGTCGAGCTTGATGATCTAAGTTTTGCAATGAAAAGGAAAGCCAGGAGAAGAACCTACGTACCCACCATTATGCGACGCGTTTCGCCGTTGGTTAAGCGGCTCATCAGGCATATTGGGCTATGTGGCTTTACAAATGTCGTACGTTGATAACTTGTATTTATTCCACCCTGATGCGAAACTTGCATATGCGAATTAAATTCAAATTTGTCAAAGTTCGACATTTGTCTTCATTCTAGGAACAGTCCTTTTCAAAGCAGATTTTTGTTGTAGAGATGGATAATTAATCCACACTCGTGTCAGGGTGGAATAAATACAAGTTATCAACGTACGACATTTGTAAAGCCACATAGCCCAATATGCCTGATGAGCCGCTTAACCAACGGCGAAACGCGTCGCATAATGGTGGGTACGTAGGTTCTTCTCCTGGCTTTCCTTTTCATTGCAAAACTTAGATCATCAAGCTCGACTCGAAAGAGTATAAATAACCACTTAAAATTACTTTCAAATGATCACTGCCCTTACAAGGCAAAATTCAAATAACAAAAAGTTTAAAAATATTTTTTAACAGATGTATTTTAATTTTTGTTATTAAAGCATTAAAATAATTAGTAAATACTAAAAATCAAATAATATTCGATTGACCACATATTCATCAACTTAGGAAAAAACTATGCGTTTATTCAGTAAACACAAGTGCAGGTAATGTGGTATACCTTGAGTCTGCATGAAAAAAGCCAGCACAAGACAAAATCTCATTACTATTTGAAACATTTGTACTCTACGAGAGTCTACCATGAATCACAAGGATGAAAAACAAAGGCTATGAGTTTTAACAACATCTCCATACAAAAATTAAATGTTGTCATGTGTAGACATTATTATATAATAAAAACCAGTAAGGAAAGTAGTAAAGTCGGACGGGGCCGACTATATGATACCCTTCACCACTATGGGTATATTAAACAGGACTATTAACATGAAATTGGATGAAATAAAATATGTGAATCTACCTAGATCTATCCATAAACATGTCATTCGTTTGTTACAATGGGACAAAAGTATGTAAATCGACTTCAAACAAATATAAATAGGTCATCCGTTGGGTTATATCTGTATTTCTAGAAAACGCAACTACGTAATTATATGCTCAATTTTGTAAGTTGTGCAAAATTTGATGTCAATCTGACTAACATGAGCAGTTTGATGCCCAATTTACTTGAAATCGGGCGAAAATATATATGGAAGCTTTATCCAAATATTAAGCGATTTCAAACAAACTTGTTACAGGTTAGGTTATACTAATTTCAGAACGTTTTGTTCCTATTGGTTCCTTCGTGCGTCAATTACTTAAAATCAATCTATAATAAAAGGGAGCTATATCTAAATCTAGGCCGATTTTCACGAAACAAGGCAGATATCACCCTAGGCTCAATTCAGTACGTTATGCCAAATTTCGTGCAAATCGAAGGATATATAGGGACTTTGGTGCACCATTTACATGAAATCGGACGAAACTATATATGGGAGCTTTATCTAAATCAGGACCGATTTTCTCAAAACTTGGTAGACATCACTCTAGGCTCAATTCAGTACGTTATGCCAAATTTCCTGCAAATCGATGGATATATAGGGACTTTGGTGCGCCATTTACATGAAATCGGACGAAACTATATATGGGAGTTATATCTAAATCAGAACCGATTTTCACGAAATAAGGCAGACATCACTCTAGACTCAATTCAGTACGTTGTGCCAAATTTAGTGCAAATCGAAGGATATATAGGGACTTTGGTGCACCATTTACATAAAATCGAACGAAACTATATATGGGAGCTATATCTAAATTAGGACCGATTTTCTCGAAACTTCACTCTAAGCTCAATTCAGTACGTTATGCCAAATTTCGTGCAAATCGAAGGATATATAGGGACTTTGGGGCACCATTTACATGAAATCGGACGAAACTATATATGGGAGCTATATCTAAATCTTGACCGATTTTCACGAAACTTGGCAGACATCATTCTAGACCTAAATGATTAGGCTGTACCAAATTTCCTGCAAATCGAAAGATATATAGGGACCCTTTACATTAAATCGGTTAAATATATATATATATATATATATATATATATATTTGCATAAGTATAGATTGATAATCTTATGCACTTTGTGTTGAACTATATTGAACTTATAGACGTATAGAAAAATTTATAAATTGTTTAATTTTTTGAAAACTTGTCAATCGACATATATAACATTTTATGGAATTTATCAAGGTTTATTCCAAAGTTTATTCATAAGATTAACAGGGAATACATGCCTTAGTCTTCTCTTACTGTCAACATTTTAATAGCGAAATTCAAACCAGAACAGGATACAAACTCAAAATATATTTCAAAATATCTTTCAAAAACGTAATGATAGTAATGTGCACGTATATTTTGGTTCGAATAAACATATTTTTTGTTGAATAAATGTTATGAAATATTTAAAAAAAACAGTACAGTCGAACGGGCGCACATTATGATACTGAACTAAATTTTGCGGAGCTGAATCCAGATTATGCTCAAAATTGTACAATTCCCTCATATTTGAGCCGCTAAAAATACCAGGTCCTTCCAAATAATGATGTTGTCTTTGACCAAGCCTATTGATGTTGCCTTCGACCAGAACCGAACGAGCATAACAAATATTGCGATATTGGTTCATAACTTTTATTATAATGTACAGACCGACCGGGCATATATAGCTAGATCGATTCAGCAAATTAAGGTATGACTAAAACGTGGATCTAGGACCAATATTTCGTGGTACTACAGTAATTTCAGTTTTTACAACAAAGATATGAAGTTTTAAACAAATATATGGAGGGAATTTGATTGGCCAATGCAAAAGGTGTTCGATTTATTATTAAAATGTCCATTACAGTTCCGATGACCTGATATCAGTATTCATTACTATGTATATAATTTATATCACACTTTTTGTTCTCACAAAAGTCAATTCTGAGAGACAATAAAATCACAATAATGCATTTTGACAGGAACATGGCCTATAAATAAGGTCACCAAGGGAGACCAGCTGATTATCGATACCTCTCAAGTTTGCTGTCAAAATGCATTATTGTGAATTGACTTCCATTATGAAAACGTAAACAAAGTCGAAATTTTTGACATTAGACTTGAGAAAAACCAGCTCATGGCCTATAAATAAGGTTACCAAGGGAGACCAGCTGATTATCGATACCTCTCAAGTTTGCTGTCAAAATGCATTATTGTGAATTGACTTCCATTATGAAAACGTAAACAAAGTCGAAATTTTTGACATTAGACTTGAGAAAAAACAGCTGTTTTCCGATTTCGATTGCTATCTTGGTGACTTTATTAATACATCTTGAACCAGCTGTTTTCCGATTTTGATTGCTATCTTGGTGACCATGGCCTATAAATAAGGTCACCAAGGGAGACTAGCTGATTATCGATACCTCTCAAGTTTGCTGTCAAAATGCATTATTGTGAATTGACTTCCATTATGAAAACGTATACAAAGTCGAAATTTTTGACATTAGACCTGAGAAAAAACAGCTGTTTTCCGATTTCGATTGCTATCTTGGTGACCTTATTAATAGATCTTGTTGGTGACCTTATTAATAGATCTTGGACAGCAAACTTGAGAGGTATCGATAATCAGCTGGTCTCCCTTGGTGACCTTATTTATAGGCCATGTCAAGTAGAAATTACCCACTTTCACAGTTAATCAAGACATCAGCTGCGCTAAATGGACTACCTATTCATTGTGCCATGGTTGCTACATGAGCTATCAATGTCATATGCACTGTCTGAACACATATGAGATTTTCATGTATGTTAAAATTGGTGCTTTTGTGTCCACATCTATATATGAATTTCTATTTTAATTGTTATTCATAATGAAATATATGTATTTTCTTTTTCCAAGCTGACAAAACAGCTGATTTAAAATTTGACAGTACATACGACATTGATGGCTGTGGCGTGTAACATCAGCTTTAGCAGTATCATAATAAACAAAAATGAGACTGGTATGGCATAATTTACGTACTTTGAAATTAAGTTGATGAATATTTATTCCTTTCTGTAGTACTGCCTCAGCAATGACTTGGCCAAACCATGTTACGTTATCACTTTTAAGGGACTGCGGATAATGCTGGATTGCGGTCTGACAGAACAGACGGTTCTTAACTTCCTCCCTTTGCCATTTGTCCAAAGTATGAAACTCTCAAATTTACCAAACTTTATTCCAAGCCGAGAACACGATCCCCAAATGGACGGCGAACTGAAGGAGTGCTGTGGGCGAGTCTTTGTAGACTCTTCCCCAGAATTTACTCTGCCCATGGACAAGATGATGGATTTCAGTGAAATCGATGTTATACTAATATCCAACTATTTGAATATGTTGGCGTTGCCGTACATTACGGAAAACACGGGATTCAAAGGCAAAGTATATGCCACCGAACCCACATTGCAAATCGGCAGGTTCTTCTTAGAGGAACTGGTCGAGTATATAGAGGTTGCACCGAAAGCCAGCACCGCCCAATTATGGAAGGATATGTTACACATATTACCTTCACCACTAAGTGAGGCTTTTCGCCCGAAGAAATGGAGGACTATTTTCAGCCTGAAAGACGTACACAATAGTCTTTCAAGAGTGACAATTATGGGGTACGACGAGAAATTAGATATATTAGGAGCTTTTATTGCAACGCCTGTAAGTTCGGGATACTGTCTGGGTTCCAGCAACTGGGTACTTAGTACGGCTCATGAAAAAATTTGCTATGTTAGCGGTTCTTCTACACTGACAACGCATCCGCGACCTATAAATCAGTCAGCACTTAAACATGCTGACGTTCTTATTATGACGGGTCTTACCCAAGCACCCACTGTTAACCCAGATACAAAATTGGGAGAGCTTTGTATGAACGTTGGTAAGTACACAAGTCTTCCTCAAATGATTATCCCTTACTAAAAGAAACAATTTGAAGCATTAACCATACGCAACAATGGATCTGCGCTAATACCCTGCTATCCGTCAGGGGTTGTGTACGATTTATTTGAGTGTTTAACGCAAAATCTGGAAAACGCTGGACTGAACAATGTTCCGATGTTCTTCATTTCGCCCGTGGCCGACAGTTCCCTCGCCTATTCCAATATTTTAGCCGAATGGTTGAGTTCAGCCAAACAGAACAAAGTTTATCTGCCAGATGATCCATTCCCGCATGCCTTCTACTTGCGCAATTCAAAATTGAAGCATTACAAACATGTATTTTCCGATGGCTTCAGCAAAGATTTTCGTCAGGTATGGAATTCAAAATCATTTGAAGAAACATGAACGATGAAATAATAACAATGAAATATCTATTTTTGACAGCCTTGTGTAGTATTCTGCGGGCATCCAAGTCTGCGATTCGGCGATGCTGTACATTTCATAGAAATGTGGGGTAATAATCCTAATAACTCAATTATATTTACTGGTAAATATCTCATTTGTCTTCTGAAAATAGAAAAATCAATCAGTATATCTATTTTTATTTTCCAGAACCAGATTTTCCCTATTTACAAGTATTAGCTCCCTTCCAACCATTGGCTATGAAAGCCTTTTACTGTCCCATTGATACATCTCTGAATTACCAGCAAGCCAACAAATTGATCAAAGAGCTAAAACCGAGTGTATTAGTAATTCCAGAAGCCTACACAAAACCACACCCGAGTGCGCCAAATCTTTTCATCGAACAACCCGTAAGTTTACACTTCGTTGTTTTTTTTTTCATCTTACTAATTTTCTTTTCCAGGATAAGAAAATTATAACTTTTAAATGTGGTGACATAATACGGCTACCACTGAAGAGGAAACTAGATCGAGTATACCTCACATCTGAAATGGCTCAGAAGATTGTTCCCCGAGATGTTGGCAATGGTGTTACAATTTCCACTATAACTGGAATACTGCAAGTCAAGGATAAAGTACATAACATAAAGCCATGTGCAGATACTGTTAGTGACATGCCCAGTGGAAGTAAAAAACAACCTCCTCCCTCCAGAGAAGATGTATTGAAAAATGTTAAGTATGAGTATGGAAGCCCTGACGTGGACTCGCTTGTAAAGCGCCTCAGTCAAGATGGTATAACTAACATTAAAATGGAACGTCAGGGCAATGTGCTGACCCTGCACTTAGTAAATGAAGATACCATTATAAAATTCGAAGACAATGAAACCCATATCGTTTGTGGTGGCAAACAATCACTACGCTTAAAACTAAGAGATTCCCTACTGAAATGTCTTCAGTCCTTCTAGATAAGAAAAGAATGACAATTAATAAATATTTTTAATGATAAGAGAACATTTTATTTTTGATTTTTCAGCACCTTACTACACCGTTGACAAATGTCATTTTCTGATGCCACCGCATAACGTCGACAGCGTGGGCATAACGACGAATGTTCCGTTTCATATATGTCAATATCAAAATCCTTACATAAATTGTCCGACTTCAATACCTTCACTGATTGTACTTGCAACAATTCGCATAGTTCGGTATTAGAGTCATTTCCGTCACCAACACTGAGATGTAGATTTTGCAAAACGTTAAATATGTGGTCATTGCCACATTTGATAGTTACTTCCAAAAACCATGAAGGCTTCGACGAATCAGCCTTTTGATTTAATAGCCGCTTGACTTCAAGTGCAGTTTCCACAACATCTTCTAAAAAGTTGTTCTTCCACTCATCCTCACACACAACCGATTGTTGATGAAAATGTGAATTGGCATCTAAATAGAGTTAATTGCTATTAATTTGGAACAATCATAGGTCACTGTTGCTGCTTACCATAATAACTCCAACTTTCTTCAACCAAAAATGGAGCTATTGGCCACAAGGCCTTATTTAAAATAAAGTAACACTTCTCCAACGTAAAGCTCACACTTTGTATTTCCTCTTGAGATCCACAATATAAGCGATCTTTAATCAAATGTACGTAAATAGCAGATATTTGGTTTGCAACAAAGTTTTGAATAAGTACCACAGCCCTGTTGTATTCATGGGATTCGTATAAATTATTAATCTACATAGGGGAAGATGCATTGGTCAAATAGGCTTTGTTAGTTCAAACGTATAGTTTACCTCTTTATCGAAATCAACTAATTTACTCAATAAGTATCGATTCAAATACTTAAGTGCTTTAACATCACCAATGGGGGTGTTCTGATCAATCCGAGAATCAATGACACCATTAAGATAACGCAATGTCAAACGGATTTTGGATAAATGATCCGCCGCTTGTTGTAGCAGCTTATCACTTACTGTTATAGCCATATGCTGTGTACCATGGGAAGCCACCCACCACCTGAGAATTGTGCAATAACAACAACGTTACGTTGTGTTAGAGAGAAAAATATATTTTCCTTACCTTAATGCATCAACGCCATACTTCTTCGTTATATCTTTGGGTGAAATAACATTGCCCAATGACTTGGACATTTTATGGCCTTTATCATCTACCGTAAAACCATGAACGAAAATAGATCTATGTAATAGACGAATTAATACACATACTGTTAATTCTAAAGCTAAACTGATTCACCTACTTGTACGGAGCACAGTCTCTTGCAGCTACACTAGTCAGCAATGATGATTGGAACCAGCCAGTAAATTGGTCATAACCTTCTAGATATAAATCTGCAATATGTTGGTCTTTCAATACTTGTGACCAAGTACTGCCCGAGTCAAACCATATATCAAAAATATCTAAACCTTTTGCTACATCGTCAATAGTCACATTGAAATATTTTAGCAACGATTTGGGCAGTAGTTCAGGAACAGATTTGGACCACCAGAAATCAATAGTACCTTCTTTAGATACCATATTACAAATATGCGTTAATATGTCTCTGAAGAACAACATAATTAATCTTTTAATAGGAGAAATAAAATATTTGTTTACCTATTGCATATCACGTTCCCTGTATTTTTGTCATAGAACACAGGTATAGGGACACCCCATGCTCTTTGGCGGGATATACACCAGTAGGGACGTTTCATAACTTGTTTTGTTAACGTTGCTTTGCTGGTCTCGGCGTTAACTCGTGGATAAATTTTAACATTTTCAATCTTTAAAAATAAAAATGAGAACAGTTCGGATTATTTTATCTCTTCGCGACAACAATGCAAATCAATGCATTTGGTCCAAAGACTCAATGATAATAGCTCGTCTTAAAGATTATTAGTAGAGCTCAGAATGGTCTGCATATATTTACCTCTCGAACGGCTTTATCCTTTAACAGAGATGTGTTTATAAACCATTGTTCACTGGCTCTTAATATGATGGGCTCCTTGGTTCGCCAATCCAAGGGGTAACTGTGTGTCAATTTATCCTCGTAGACAATTTCATCTTTCAAATGGTTCAAAACAATGTCGTTGCCTTCTTTCAACACACTTTTGCCTTGTAAAAAACCTGGAGCATTTTTATTGTAGAGCCCTTCTTCGTCGACTAAGGATTTCTAAGAAAACATCAATAGCTTTTTTGATAACGTATTCAGAATCCACTTACGACAGCAACTTTTTTCTCTAAACAAATTAGGAAATCATCCGGCCCATGTGCTGGGGCTGTATGTACCAAGCCCGTGCCCTTAGTGTCCTGAACATGAGTAGCATTGAAAAATGGCAAAGGAGGTTGATCGGGATAAAGTGGATGTTTATATGTACAATCCATCAAGTCGATACCTAGAATACACATACCTTGTATTAATTATTTCATTACCGTTGAGACTTATTTCTCACCATCAATATTTCCTTTTACTTCACACTCAATTTTTGATGTTTTTACAAAATCGTCCACCAAATTTGACGCGATTATATACAAGTTCTTCTCCGATTTCAGCTGCAACAAGGAATATTTTAAATTCGAATTAAAACATATGGCTTGATTGCTGGGCAAGGTCCAGGGTGTAGTGGTCCAAATCAATGCATATAACTTTTGAGAGTTGTCAATCTGAAGCGTGGGTGGCAAATTCTCCAAAGGAAAACGCACATATACCGATGGACTAACGAAGTTATTGTCGTATTCCAATTCTGCCTCAGCCAACGCTGTTCTAATAATTGAAATGAATAAGTTCAACGCGCGCTCAATATACGTTTTCGATGAATATAACATACTTGGAAGAGGGTGACCAATAGACCGGTTTCAAATCACGATACACTAAACCTTTTTCATATAAATCAAGAAATAGCTGCAGCTGATTACATATGAAATCCGGATTAAAAGTACAATATAATCCGTTACTATCTTGCCAATTCGATAATATGCCCCATGAACGAAACTCCTCCTTTTGTCTTCCTATAGCATCTACGGCAAATTCTCGCGCTTGAAGTGTAATTTAATTTGCAAAATTAAAATCTCTTAATCACACGTCACAATACTAGCTTACATTTTTGTCGCACCACAATGGGGTCATCTATTCCCGTCTTTTTGCCGGTCGATGCCAATGCTTTTAATTCAATTGGCAATCCATGACAATCCCAGCCCGGTCTATAATCAACTTTGTGTCCTTTCATCATTTGGTACCGAATGGTAATGTCCTTAAGGATCTGGAACAATTAGGTAATTTAACACATGCAGTCGAATGTTTCCATTAAAATTAAATATAAATGTAGGTACTTTATTAACGGCATGGCCCATATGCAAATCACCATTTGCATATGGTGGACCATCATGCAATATATATTGGGGTTCCTTGTTATGTTCGAGTTGGTAATTATATGCCTTTGCAAATGTTGTCTGAAAAAAAATAATAAAATGAATATTTCATTAATGACACAGCCAAATTTGATTGAATACCTCGACTAGAGTCCTTTCCAGTTCCGCTCTTTTGTTTGCCGACAATCGAGACGGAAACCGAGTTTTTGGCAAATTTACAGTGTTTGTGTACCTGACAGTATCTTTTGGGGCATGTTTAATGGAATAGAGCCGACTACTAGAAGTACGAAAGAATCTTAACATTATTTTATGTTATATTTAGCTAATTTGAACAGCGATTTTATGTAATTTAGCAAGTAGAAAATAAAACAAATAACTTTTCGATTCGATATTTGTTCAGAAATTAAAAAAATAATCGAAAAATCATCGATTATTTAAAATAACATTCAACTACAGTCAAGATCTATTAATAATGTCACCAAGATAGCAATCGAAATAGGAAAACAGCTGTTTTTTCTCAAGTCTAATGTCAAATATTTCGACTTTGTTTACATTTTCATAATGAAAGTCAATTCACAATAATGCATTTTGACAGCAAACTTGAGAAGTATCCATTATCAGCTGGTCTCCCTTGGTGACCTTATTTATAGGCCATGCTACCAGTAAATGTTACCATAAAATATCTATCGAACATATTTGGTCTGTTCCCGTACTGCAAGAATCTACTATTTTTTACTCCGATAACACTTTTTTCCTTTATGATATCGAAAAAAAATAGTAAAATCGAGTAGATTCGTGCAGTACGGGAACAGACCAATTTTCTCACGAAGCGGTGTACACAATATTATCTTTGGATGACGGTTTGGCCCAATGTCTGCTTTTTTGATAGTGTGGCCGTTTATGTCCGTAATTTATAAGGCAACCACCACAATATTCATGATTGTTGTCAACATTCCAAAATGATAGCATGCACCATGGTACAATCATCAAAGAGAAAATACATCTCTAGCAACAATTTGTTCTGTTCATTTGACATATTTTTACATTTTACCAAAAAAGGCGAACAATGAATGGAATGTCAGGATTTCTTTTCAAATCGAATTGGGAATATGATTTAGATATTGCATGGTACAATAAGGTAGGTTAGTTGTTACTGCTGATTACAATTTCTGCGCCTGTTCTGTCAAACAATTACTCAATCTGTGAATGTGTGTGTATAAAGGCGCTTTTAGGCTATAGCTTTTATCGTGATAAAGTGCATTATCTCGATTAAATTGTTAAATCGAACTGAATTTACCTCGATTTACCATATAGAATTAAATCCGCCCAATATCTCGATTTGGCCAAAATGCTATGCTAAATCCATGGCACAATGAATAGGTAGTCCATTTAGCGCAGCTGATGTCTTGATTAACTGTCAAATAGGGTAATTTCTACTTGAGTTCGTTGTGTAGTGTTGCCAACCATTTGAAATATTATATGGAAAAATTTGACAGATAATCGAGCCAAAAACAAAGGTTGTTGTTGTGATACATCACCTTATTATTGCATCATGGCTAAATCGAGATAATATCAAATACAACCATGTTTTTGTCCCAAAAGTAATAATTTCTCCTTAAAGTATGCTTTAAAATTAGTTAATAGTAAAAAATAACTGCTTAAAAAATATGTAAGATACTGAAACATTATTTCTTCTTCGTAATATTCATAATTAAGCATAATAAATGTTGTTATGCAAAATTATAAAAGTAATAATGAAAAAATCAGGAAATCAGTGAAATGTTAATATATGCGTTACAAATAACAGCTGACAAATCCACTTCATTTAATTTGCTAGTCTAAACAGCATGGTACAATTATAAAAGGTAACAGCAAATCCCAGCTGATTTGATTCCAACGTAATACTAGTGTCAATATAAATTTGACAAATTATGTTTTTAAAAATCACCCAACAGGAAAATTGGGAACGCATACAATTTGAAATTGTTCTTTATTAATGTGCTCCCGTATTCAATTTACTCAATCTGCCTGCTGGGAAAGTTTGAGGAAGCAAATCATTCTTGAAGGAATAACTCGCTATTCCCAGCATTGTCATATGTGTTACACATATATATGGCAATAGCTCAATTAAAGGAAAGATGTGGAAGCGATAGAAATATAAATTTGATAGATTTTCATTCATGTTTTTCAATTTTTATTTTGAGGATTCGAAAATATTCTATTTCCAAAATAAAAATAATTTGATGATAATTTGTTTGTTTGTTTACATTTTTCTGTCAAATGAGTTGACACTAGTAGAACTTACAACAACAAATTTCCATGTGGTTGTTGTATCGTTTTTTGTACAACAACACTTGCTGTTACCTTTTATTATTATACCATGTCTAAACAGTTAGAATTTCATATCTCGATTTTCAAATCGAGTCGATTTAGAAGGCATTGGTTAAAAGCATGGTTAAAAACGGATTTACATATAACATGTAATCATGATTAAAGGCTGAATAAGGGTTTATTTTCTTAAACGGCATATACATTAGAACTTTTTACCGGGTTAACCTACTTTATGAGGGTTTATTTGACATATATGCAAAGGAATTGACACTGGGTTAACGAAATCCGGATAAATGTAAACGTACTATTAATCAGAACGTACCATTAAGAAGAAGTTGTAGATTCTTGCAGTATGGGAACTGTCCAAATTTAAATCATCGTGCGGCAGGGTTTTTTTTTATTTTTTTTTTTTTTGGCTCTTTTTGTCGTATACCGACAACTAGGGTTGGTCGATTACCCAGAGTAATCATGAACCACAGCTGTTTTACGTTGAGTTAGTAGGGTTTTGCTAATCGACATATCACAAGGTGAACGTTATAACCAAAGTTCTGCTTTGTGTAAAATCATCGTGCGGCGTGGTTTTTTTAATTATGATCGAAATCATGATAGTAATGAAAAGCAATACTATCGTTTTTGTACGAAAAAATACAACTCTCTCACAATATACCAAAATTTGCAACTGTTTTCATATGTTGTTTGTTTTTTAATTTAACGGTTGCCAAATACAAAAATGAAAGATCAAAGGAAAATAAAAATTATTTATAGAATTTTTCGTTTTTATGTGTTTGTTTTTATTTTCCAAACGATCACAGCATCGTAAAAACATTTTAATTCTTGTAATTCTTTTTTTCATTATTTTCAAATTGCAAACAAATTAGTAATTTGTATACTAACAAACATCAGCTGATCGGCATTTAGATCATGAATAAATTTATGTGTAAATAATTAGGGTGTATTTCTGGATTTCGTCTCACCATCTGTCAAATTCTTCCACATAATATTTCACATGCTTGGCAAATTTGCACATCGAATTCAAGTAAAATTAACCACTTTGACAGTTAATCGAGACTTCAGATGCGCTAAATGGACCATCTGTCAATTTTTTCCATATAATATTTAACATGGTTGGCAACACTGCACATCGAATTCATGTAGAAATTACCCACTTTGACAGTTAATCAAGACATCAGCTGCGCTAAATGGATCTTGGCGTGACCATCGTAACGTGTACAAGAATACAAAACTGTGTGAGCGTAATAGGTTTGGATGGATAATAAAGCAGACACAAATCAATGTCGAACAATTTTGGTGATAAGATGAAAAGGAGGGAAAATTTTTCTTGGGTTTCTGCCACATAAAAGGCCAAATTTGAAAAAGCAAAAAAAAAATAAAGAGTTGAATTTGGAAAAACATGGTACACATAATTATTACAAGACAAGGCACAGCTTCCTACTGATTACAATTTTTTCTCAAGGTGGATTGTTCCATCAAATCAAAATGCATATTTTGTGTATGTGTGTGTATTGTTTGTTTTGAATACTGTGCCAAATAAATTGTAATATATTCTAATTTAATTGAAATGAAACTCATTTTTTAACGCGTCCGTCTGAAGGTAATTACTTTGTTATGGACGAAGCAAATATTCCATGACATTCCCTACTGGATTTTGGAATGAAATCATAACCTTTCATAAATTTTTCGCGTTTTAGTTATGTGTTGAAAAAATGTCAAAATAAACACAACCACATGTTGGATATATTTATTTTATATTTGGCAGAAGAAGCCACCAACTCATAGTTGCTTTTTTATACCCTCCACCATAGTATGGAGGGTATATTAATTTTGTCATTCCGGTTGTAACTCATCGAAATATTCATTGAGTTAAAATCCTAAAATAGATTAAATGGGCATTATTCTATTCAAAAAATATTATAAATTGTCATGTTCGATCCTATCTATCTATATATATAAAAATGAATTGCTGTTCGTTAGTCTCGCTAAAACTCGAGAACGGCTGAACGGATTTTTCTTATCTTAGTCTTGAAATGTTCGTGGAGCTTCAGGGAAGGTTTAAAAGGTGAGAACAGATCGAATAAATGCCGGGAAATCTCTAAAAAGCTGACTTTTATATTTCCCATACAAATGTTTTCTAAATAAATCAATTTGCTTTTATTGTCAGAGTTTTTTTTAAGTTTGATAAATTTTAATTTTTGTCACAAATTAAGTTTCTGAAAGGAAACGATGCAATCGGTGAAGATCTTCCTTATTTTTTAATTTGGTTTTTGGTCAAAAATCGGCGATTTTCCAAAAATATTTTTTCAAAGGTCCACCATTTTGTTAATTTTAGAGCGAAGTCTCTAAAAAGCTGACTTTTTTATTTCCCATACAAATGTTTTCTAAATAAATCAATTTGCTTTTATTGTCAGAGTTTTTTTTAAGTTTGATAAATTTTAATTTTTGTCACAAATTAAGTTTCAGAAAGGATTAAGTTTCGATTACCGATACGTGCGCGAGAACTTTCTTTACTTTTGTGATCCTTTGAGATAGTGAATCTGTGAAAGGTACACAATTGTTCAGTAAACGCGTTGTTTTGTCATTAATTAATAAACTTGAGATGCCGAGGAGAAGACGACCTGACTTAGGTTGTCCATATAATGCAAGTACATTTTGGGACTAATTCAAGGATGGAAAATCAGAAGAGATTCTGAATCGAGTTCGTGTCCATTCAGGGTATTCTGATTCTAAGATCTATGCCCCTGATTAATTTGTTTGAAAATAATAATAATAGGAAAATGTTGTTCCTTAAAGTACCTGAAATGTTGATATTCCACGGGAAATATCAAATCAGGTGGCCTAATCGTTTTTCAATATCTTTGAACTTATAAACACCTCGCATACATGCGACTCCGAAAATGTTTATCACAGTGTAATATACGAGATATCTTCTTTGCAAAAATCTATCATTAAGCTCA